AGAGAAGGGAAACAAAATGGAAGGGAGATAGGGAAAGTTACAGAAAATTGAATGCAAACTTCCAGAGAATAGCAAGGAGAGACACGAGGGCCTTCTTAAATGAACAATACAAAGAAATAGAGGAAAATAATAGAAAAGGAAAAACCAGAGATCTGTTCAGGAAAATTGGAGATATTAGAGGAACATTTTGTGCAAAGACGGACATGATAAAAGACAAAATGGGAGGGACCTAACAGAAGCAGAAGAAAATAAAGAAGAGGTGGCAAGAATACACAGAGGAATTATACCAGAAAGATTTGGATATCCCGGACAAGCCAGATAGTGTGGTTGCTGACCATGAGCCAGACATCCTGGAGAGTGAAGTCAAGTGGGCCTTAGAAAGCATGGCTAACAACAAGGCCAGTGGAAGTGATGGCATTCCAGTTGAACTGTTTAAAATCTTAAAAGACAATGCTGTTAAGGTGCTACACTCAATATGCCAGCAAGTTTGGAAAATTCAACAGCGGCCAGAGGATTGGAAAAGATCAGTCTACATCCCAATCCCTAAGAAGGGCAGTGCCAAAGAATGCTCCAACTACTGTACAATTGCACTCATTTCACACGCTAGCAAGGTTATGCTCAAAATCCTCCAAGGTAGGCTTCATCAGTATGTGGACCAAGAACTCCCAGTACAAGCTGGATATTCAAGGGGCAGAGGAACTAGAGACCAAATTGCTAACATGTGCTGGATTATGGAGAAAGCCAGAGAGTTCCAGAAAAACATCTACTTCTGCTTCATTGACTATGCAAAAGCCTTTGACTGTGTGAACCACAACAAACGATGGCATGTCCTTAAAAGAAATGGGAGTGCCTGACCACCTTATCTATCTCCTGAGAAATCTATATGTGGGATAGGAAGCAACAGTTAGAACCAAATACTGTATGGAACAAGTGATTGGTTCAAAATTGGGAAAGGAGTATGACAATGCTATATATTGTCTCCCTGCTTATTTAACATATATGCAGAATATATCATGCTAAAGGCAGGACTGGAGGAATCCCAAACCAGAACTAAGATTGCCAGAAGAAATATCAACAACCTCCGATATGCAGATGATACCACTCTGATGGCAGAAAGTGAGGAGGAATTAAAGAACCTGGAAAAGACCCTGATGTTGGGAAAGTGTGAAGGCAAGAGGTGAAGGGGACGACAGAGGACAGATGGTGTCATCGAGGCTACCAACATGAATTTGACCCAGCTCCAGGAGACAGTGGAGGACAGGAGGGCCTGGCGTGCTCTGGTCCATGGGGTCAGAAAGAATTGGACACGACTAAATGACTAAACAA